TATTGATTCCTCTGCGAAAATTGGGGAAGTTGGTTCGAGCAAACAACCATGAATTGATCGTTCAATCTTCAACTCCATTGACATAAGGCATGATGCTTTTCTTGATAATTCTTTCCAGTGTCTTGATTAAAGTGCTGGTGAGACTGATAGAACTATAATTTGAAGGGCTTTGTCTTGATCCTCCCTTGTGCATAAGGGTTACCATGGCGTCTTTGCAATCACGCGGCAACACTCCATTTAGGAGAGATAGCTTGAAGATCGTGGTTAAGGGGCCGGCTATGTGGGCTGATAGCTTCTTGAGAAGCCTTGGATGAAGATTGTAAGGACCCATTCATTTCCCTGCATATCTCTGTCTGTTTTCGACATAGAACTTTGCACAAATGTGCGGAAGTTCAAGTCGCCACATTCCGTGTAGCACGCGAAGCAAGAGAAGAAAGTACAAGAAAAGCATAATAAAAACAGTGAGCAGAAGTGTGAGACAAAGGAGGAGTAATAACGAAGAACAAAACAGTTTCATTGGAGATCATAAGTCACAAGAAATGGATGCATCTGCGCCACTGAGAACGGTTTTGAGCCGTGTCACCAATTGTTTCCAACCATAGATTTTTAACGTCCCGAGGACCCCAACCAGTCAGGAAGTCTACACCTTCCTACGTGGCTAAGACCAACTGTTGTGGATTTCATTGACTGATGCCAAGTTTTTGTTTGACCGCCGCTAGCTTTTTTCCAGTCTGACCCTATATCCGCTAACATTGCTCGTCGAGGGAGGCGATGGCTTGGCATACGTAACACATGTGCTAAACATCTCAGTCTTTGTAGCTTCACGACTTCGTCGATTGATTTCCTCTGTTTACCTAGAACTCTACGCCTAACCTCAATGTTGCTCACCTTATTATGCCACTTCACACGGGAAATAGAACGCAGGCACCTATGATCAAAGGCAGCTAGTCTTTTCATGTCTTCCACTCTGAGTGGCCAGGTCTCGCTCACAACCATAAAGGAGGACGGAGCGGACTGATGAGCATTACACCCGCCCTTTGGTCGATAGTCGAACATCTCGTCTACGCCAGAGTCATCGTAAACTGGCAAATACGGAACGAGCCCCTTGTATTCGTGCTGAGATTTCATCAGAGATCAGTCCGTTGGAGCTGATGGTACTTCCCAAATAAGTGAAGCGGTCAACGTGCTCTACCACTTCACTTCCTATTTTTAAACTAGGCGTCGATGTAGTCCAGTCCTGTAACATCATCTTGCATTTGGCGGGAGCGAATCGCATGCCAAACATTCGTAGATTGCGGCTCAAGGTGTTTAGAAGACTCTGCATTTTGTCAGCGTCTTCGCCTAGAAGGATTATATCGTCTGCATATTCCAAGTCAACGAGATTATTCCCCGGTAGCAAGTCAATCCCTGAGTCGCTGAAGTCACCTAGGGTTAAGTCCATTAACACATCTATGATGAAGTTGAATAGAAAAGGGGATAATGGGCATCCTTGACGGACACCACTAGTCGTAACCAGTTTAGATGACAGCTCGCCGTAAGCCCTCACCTGGCTGTATGAGTACGAGTAGAGTGCCTTAATCAGTGCAATATATTTTCTTGGAATTCCCTTTACAGCCAAGCATCTCCAGAGAACTTCCCAATCGACAGAGTCGAATGCTGCCTTTAGGTCAAGAAATATAATGACTGTTGGACGCCGGTAGGAATGCCTATGTTCTAGAATCTGTTGGAGGGTGAAGATATGATCAATACACCCTCTTCCTGGTCTAAAGCCTGCCTGGCTCTCTCGTGTTTGTGCTTCCCGAGCACCACTCAGTCTACGAATGATTATTGAGCCTAAGACTTTAGATACTAATTTAGTCAAGCTAATCTGTAGTAGTTTCATTAGGCGGTTGAGCACGATGCCTTGGTCGACGTCAACGGAATCTATCCCATGTTCTTCTGATGCAGCCAGAGCTGATCCCGTAGGCAGTGATGACTCCTGAGTGAATACTTGGGAGAAAAAGTTTGCAATTTCTTCTGCTTTTTCTTGATCTTCTTCGATTGTATCTTTGTCAATAATCAGGTTTGGGACAGCATTGGATGTTTTATTCCTGAAATTCAAGTAGGAGAAAATTCTCTTAGGTTATGTCTTTGCATTTTGAGCCAGGTATGTCTCGAACTTCATCCTTGATTGGCGCATTTCTGCGATAGCTTTATTTCTAGCAGTATTATATGATTCTCTGGTCTCAGAAGTCTCAAGTGTAGCAAACAGGTTCCAACATTTGCGTTTAAGTCTGAGTAACTTACAAATCTCCCGGTTTATCCAGGGGGGAATGTTTCCGACCCTTTGGAACAGACCAAGGGATGAAAGGTACAGTTACTTGGGCGTAAAGTTGTTTAAATTGGTTCCATGCGGCTTCTACCCGGGACTCTGGGTTGATGTACCAGTTTACTGAGTTGGCTTCTGAGACGATCGCATTTATATCAGCCTTCCAAACGCTTGGTCGAGCTGGGGTTTTGGCCCTTGCTGCCGTTGCTGTGAACTTGAAAGTGAGCACAGCATGGTCACTTCTTCCTAACGGAGGAAGATATTGTATGAGATCCACATCCTCACCGTGGGAGAACACTAGGTCCAGAGTTGAGGAGGAGTGCTGTGAGTCATAGCGCGTGGGCTTAATGATATGTTGGACTAGGGCTAGCGATATAATGCATTCTAGCAGTTTATGATCAAAGGAGTTGACTGAAGATGGAGTTGTTAGGCTCGCCCAGTCAACTGTTGGGGCGTTGAAGTCGCCGACTACGAGACTTCGACATTTTGAAGTCCAGGAGCCTAGCTTCTCTATTAGGAAGTCGTCTGCACTACAGTCCGGACTGCGGTATACAGCAATGAGGTCAGTGTCTTGGCCTATGCATTTAAGTCTGCAGCGTAGCAGTTCGCACGATTCGCTTTCGTGGGCAAGTACTTCGATACTACGCACGGTTAATCCTTTCTTGAGGTAGATGACTACGCCACCTCCTTTGCGGTTTAGTCGGTCTACCCTGTACACTTCGAAGTTTGGCAGGTTAACTTCGTTGTCAGTGACATCGGGTGTGAGCCATGTCTCCGTGATAATAATTACATCCGGGTTTCCAGGTTCTATCATGTTAACCAGCTCAGTCATTTTGTTTAACAGGCTGCTGGCGTTTGCGCAGCATACTGTTAATTCAGATTGGTGCTTCCCCGGCCCGCCACAGAGGTTTCGGGATCATTAAACTCCGAACTCGGACAACCCGAAAACCCTTAATCTTAAGGTTCTTCTCGCCGTTCCGGCTTCGCTCACTTAATTCTAGTGCTGCAGCCTGTCTTTTGACACGGTCTGCTAGGCTTAAGTCAGCGCGGACATATATCTCTGATCCTTTGGGAATATGACAGTTGCTTAGAAAAGCATCCCTCTCCGCTTTAGAGTTTAGTACGACTTTGAGGAGACGTACAGGCTCACTTACTGTAGGGTCAGGCTTTTAGCCTATTCTGCATACGCTGTGTATAGTAATGCCTGATACTGTTTCTGGCGGTAGCTTGTCTAAAAGGGGCTTGACCAAGTTAAGGTCATGATCGAATCTGGCCTTAGGATCGAGGGCCAGTGACTCCTCCACTTTGTGGAGAATGAGCGACCTGTCAGAGAGATCGAGTTTGCTTTCCGCGACTTTCTTGCTCTGAGGCGTAAGTGTGTTTCTATCCTTCTTGAGCGGTGTAGCCAAAGTGTTATCCTTATTTCGCTTTTTGCGAGAGACTACAGTACGCCATTCATTGGCGTCCTCCTCGCTAATCGTAATGGGGTTTATCTGTCTGCTGCTCACCGGTGTGGATGAGGCTTGTTCCGGCAGTCCCTGGGCGACTGGAGCTGCAGGTTTTCGACCCTAGTACGCCTCTTCTTCACGGCAGTCTTTCCATTACTGTCACTGGAGGGCTCATCCAGTGTCGTGGGGGCGGCCTGGGTGTCTGTAATATGGTGGGTGTTCTTCTGTGCTGTAGAGCACTCACTTATTGGCAAGGTCGCATCTGGGACATGTGGTGTTTTGTCAATGACGCTAGTCACGTCATCGCTATCTGAGCAATAGTCGGTATTCTTCTGTGGTGGAGGACGCTTGCAGTCCATGAGCTTTAAAGCCCCACTGAGAGTAGCAATGGCTTCTGTAATACGGAGTTTAGTTGTATTACAGCAGTCGTTGCACAACCAGTTTGCTAGAGGTTTGCAGCAGCGTTTGTATGCTGCTGGAGTAAGGTTCGTGCACATACTGTGAAACCATCTCTTGCAGTTGTCACACTGCATTCCCTCATCCACTGTAAACTGGCACATAGCCCTTCCGCAGCGGTTTCTTTTGATAGGCATTTTATTTAAAACAAACCGGGAAAAATTAAATACAACTTCAAACATACATAACCTTTATAAATCAGTGATAAAAGCTAGTGAGTGCACAAAGAAAGATATACGTAGCTATTAAGTTATAAGAACACAACTTCTTACAGTTAATAGACTCAAATATGAAACGTAAACTAACTTCGATCAGAATAAACTGATTTAAAGTTAAATCTGTGGACTTTTGGAGCGTATGACACAACAAGAGCCAATAATAAACAAGAGCGTGTAAAGTTAACTCCCTTTTCCACGGCTTTTTTATATATTGACCCATTTTATTTGCTGATGACTTTGCTTACACTCATATTCTATTAGGACCTACTAGAAACTTAAAGCCAAGGCAGTGACAGTGTTGTAGAACAGTGTATGCATACCAAAATAAACAGATATCCATCCTTTCACTTCCCATGAAGGATCAACAGAAGTACAGGAAACAGTCCTGTTGCACCGAATTTACTAAAAGATTCAGCACCGTTACACGTAATCAGTGGGTAGGCATCAAGGAATAGACGTACTTGTTCAATGTAGTTATAAAAACACAGCGAATATTGGACATTGGCTCTGAGGTTATGGGTATTGACAATTCGTGAGTGACCTTGCGAGCTGAGCAACAATTATGAAGTTATGCTCCGTTTTGTGGATTATGTTGTTCTTGTCGGATATGACTTTGAAAAATCAGGTAAAACTTTTGAACTACTATTGTTGGTATATGACATAATAATTAGGGACCAAGTATCTCCTAACCAAATTTTTTTTCATGAATTTTGTGTGCTGTAGCCTGAGGATTAATACAGTATACATGTACATATATATGTTTATATGCATAGCTAATGTAATCACCAGTATTTTTTTGTGGGGATTAATACAAGAGAAGAAGGCGAGACTGGTAGTAGAACTGTGACGTGCCATCTCAGTAAGAAGGGAAAATTCGGCGGGTGTTTCAGACAAACATTTAAACCATTTTAGCTATTGATATTGCTGCTCAGGTAGTAGCTGAATTCAACGGACTATGTAGGTTATTTGTTTCCGAATTCAGCGGCAAAATAAGGTAGAAACAAACAGCCAGAATTTATAATACACGTGCCTACAGTGTCACTTCTCTTAATAGCAGGTATTGACAAGAATTGACTAGACATCCTTATTTTCTGGGTCTGGATTGAACTGGTTAGATTTCTGATAATTCGTATGGTTAACTGAAAATTGCAGAAATGGGGACGTTTAAATGTCAAATTTTGAATGTCATTTACGTAGGTAGGGTTGTACTATCAGGATAGCTGGCAAAAGCTTAGTGCTAGTTCCTTGAATCTACGTAATCAGTGGCCTAAGAGACTTAGAAGGAGTTTTATGGTTTCTGTTGCTCAGCTTAAAAATTCATTGTTAGTCTTATGTGTTGCTTATTTTTTATTTATTATTATTGTGGCTTGACTCCACACAGTATTTTTGATACAGGTATGGAGTTTTCAGCATTTGATATCGGTAACCCGAATTCGGCAGGCCGACCATGGATATCACGTGTACGTTGGCCGGGTCGGATCATGTGCATGATCGGTGAGCGCCCTAACTGCTGTGCCATCGACGCACTTTAATAATGACTTACAATGGAACTATTATGTATTTTGTTTAACTAATTCTATACGCATCAGACTGGGGGTATATTTTGGGATTCCTGCCTGTTTTCAACAATTAATTTCCCTTATTTGGAATCATGTACTTATGAAAGATCTTAAGTATTCAAATTACCCCTGGCTTGGCAACTGTCATTTCCTTATATAACGTTAGTTTACAGTTGACTATTATTGTTCAGGTTACACATTACTCCCAACTTAACACGACACTTTAAGGTCTGTCTATGTTTTCGACATAGAACTTTGCACAAATGTGCGGAAGTTCAAGTCGCCACACCGTGTAGCACGCGAAGCAAGAGAAGAAAGTACAAGAAAAGCATAATAGAGACTGAGCAGAGGTGTGAGACAAAGGAGTAAGGTGAACAATAGGTAACCATGCGTATATAACCATCCTAGAAATGAGCACAGAAGCACCTCACTTCAAGTTCTTACACTTTGAAGAAGCATACAAAATAAGGCTTGCATGGTGTACTGTTAGTATCTTGGATAATAAGATTTCAGTGTACCTTTTGTGCAGTAGCATACTTCATTTCCTTGTGAACTTGTATGGATCCCACTTGACGAGGTTGACACATTAAATAGTTCGTTTGCCACCATTTAATTAAGTAATTTAGAGCGTATGCAAAATATCCAATACTCAGTTGAATATCGGATGTCAAGTATTGGTGAACTTTGTCCCACTATATACCAATATCTCTTGACTTTATCCTCATTTGTGTTACAATCGCTACTGTAGTGACATACATTAGTAGATTTACGATTAAGTTTAAGAGCTTTTCCACTTAAGATGTTAACTAATAATTCCCAACTATCCTCTGTGCACTACTGGAGAACATCAGTGTTAGAATTTTATTGTTTCGTTCAAAGGACACGTTACTTTCCCTAGATAATTTCTTCGGTTATCTTTGGAGTGATATCGGTTTCGTGTGTATCATTTATACAGCATTTCTTGTTTACAGTATACACTTTGTGTTCATGTTCATAAAGATTAATATTTTATAGCTGTAGCATTAATCCACATGTTTATATTCTATGTGGTATCGTTAACTATAACCTAAGAAATGGAGATTCTACTCTGTATATCCACTTGTAATTTGACATTGTTTTGTATTTGCTTCAGCTTGTGATAAGCGCTATGACTTTTTCTTTATTTCTTCAGTTGGTGGTGAAAGCGAAGGACGTATTTTACAAAGATTTCCTTCAAAATGTTGGGACGACTATCCTTACAACTTCAAAATTGAGACAGTAAATCGTTTCCTTTCCTTTAATAATCGATAATCTTATAAATTTAGTTCTGTCAACCTTGTGGTTGGTATCTTAGTCGGAACAAACCAGCACCAACATTCTTTGTTGCGTACTTGACAGATGTTGCTGGAAATCCATATTTTGCAGCCTGTCTTACTTTTCACGAGGCTGTATCACCTAGTCAACTACTAAAATTTAAAAATCCTTATAATACTATTCATAACAGAGTAAGGGCTGCAGGGAATGAGTTGAATCGTTATCCTCATAATGGACCTATAGATGGGTCATTTGTAAATAAAAAAGGCTTTCTTATTTCTAATTTTGCATGTCAGTCTGAAAATTATCCCTTAAATACTCGTATCAGCGTAACCAGTTTGGATAGTAATGCTAGTTCACCGTTGAGTTCAGCAATCGGTGTACACGATCAGTCGATAAACCATTGTGGTCTGAGGTCGATATATGATGCTGGTGATCCAAATCTAGTACGTCCACCGGAATTTTATGCACCAAAGTGTTTGGTTTTCCTTGCTCGTCATCAACACTTTGATGTGTTGAAGGTAAGTTTCTTTCTATGTATAGAAATATTTTGATTTTTCGTTTGTGATTTCAGCTTGATTCCACACCGTATTATTTGGTAAAGGTATGAAATTTCCAGCATGTGATATCGGTAGCCCAAATTTAGCAGGCTGACCATAGATATCATGTGTGCGTCGGCAGGGGATCGAACCTCAGACCATTTGCATGGTCAGCGAGAGTCCTAACCACTGTGCCACTGACACAATATCTGAATATTCAGAATTATAATCAATCATTTTTATGTACATTGATACATACTGTATTGTCATCTCACTTACATTAGTCACATTTCCTTAATCACTTATCATCTATCTTTTTGTTTAGCTTTACTATGACTTCCGACGACTTCTCTTATGTTGCGTTGTCTTTTTCTTCTAATCGAATTTCACTCATCTCAATCTGTATTCATTACATTATGTGGAATCAATTCATCTGTATCACTTTGTTTAGATTGTAGTAAAGCGAAATGAACCCAGTGTTACACCAGGTTGTTCATGCTTACTGTTACTGTTTAAGCACTCGTATTGTCAGTAGCCAGTTGCTATGTGGCAAGTTGTACTTATTTATCCATTAAATCTGAAATCACGCCTACCATTCAGCTGGATTACTCTAATAAAATAGTAAAATTTTCCTTCAGAATATCAACATTAACATCATTAAGTGTAGCAGTCAAGAAGTCAAGCAGTAAGGCAGCTCTGATCTCTAACCACTTAAACTAGTAACAGCAGATGACTGCTATCATAGTATGCCTGAATGAGTGCAGACGGAAAGCATACATGTGAAGGTGACTGAGAGGTTATTCAAAACATCTTTTAGGTTCTGTATGTCCGTCTGTAAACAGCGTACATCAGTAGCGATGCTTTTTGATGCTGAGCTATATATCTGAGCTGTCGTTTAGTGCGTAAATGTTTGTGGGGGCGGTAAGGTGTAACAAACATATCTGTCTGTCTGTTTTCGACATAGAACTTTGCACAAATGTGCGGAAGTTCAAGTCGCCACATTCCGTGTAGCACGCGAAGCAAGAGAAGAAAGTACAAGAAAAGCATAATAGAAACAGTGAGCAGAGGTGTGAGACAAAGGAGTAATAAAGAAATACAAAACAGTTTCATTGAAGATCATAAGTCACAGGGAGTGGATACATCTGCGCCACTGAGAACGGTTTTGAGCCATGTCACCAATTGTTTCCAACCATAGATTTTTACCGTCCCGAGGACCCCAGCCTGGAAGTCTGCACCTTTCTACGTGGCTTAGACCAACTGTTGTGGATTTCATTGACTGATGCCAAGTTTTTGTTTGACCGCCGCTAGCGTTTTTCCAGCCTGACCCTATATCCGCTAACATTGCTCGTCGAGGGAGGCGATGGCTTGGCATACGTAACACATGTCCTAGCCATCTCATATATAGTCTCAGATGTACCACTAAGTGCAATGTTTTGCGATAACTAACATTTAGTAATGTGAGGTGACACTAAAAAAATGTAACCGTTGAACACTGGTAAACAGCTGCACAAAACTAAGCTTTTAAACAAAAAGAATACAGTTCACTTATAGAAATAAGAAATTAAATACGATGGAAATTATGTGAATATTTAAATAAACTTTACGACAGCATCAGTGTCCAAGTTTGTCAGACTAAATGAAATCCTGGATATCTTCATTAAGAACACTGTATCATCGTTCATTTGACAATTGTCAACGGTCATATTCAGGTCGAGGGTTCAGGGTCAACTAACTCCTAACGTCTAATACCGTTTTTCACTTTAAAATAAGAAATATCAGTTAAACGTGAAACTAAGACAAAATGATTATGAATCCTCATGTTAGATATTGTTTATCTGGATTTTCCTCATATGGAACTAGATTTTGCAAATGTAGGCTTTTAATTTAGCCTCTATTCAATGAAGAAACACCTACATTGGTATTATGACATCTATTTAGGGTAGATTTTTCCCCTCTTCACCTTATTTTATTGAGTAATAAATCTGACTGTATCTGTTTGGTGTTCATTTTTAAAAAAAAATTAGAATAGTCTGAGCTTATTGTACACTGTCTTCGCTGATTCATTACGTCAATACTCTGTGGAACAAATGATTGCGACAGTACTTGGCGGTGTAGAAGTTCCACCAACAGGTTCGTTTTAATAGTCAATATTTTATATTTTTGTTTATGGAATGTTTGAAATAACTAAATAAAAGTCTCTTTATAGTAGTTTGCTATTAAATGGGAGTACAGTTGTGCGATGTGTTGGCTTCTTATCATTTCTGTTGAAGCCATTCTGAATCATCATTTTATGAGTACGCCTAATTTACATGTGTATTTCTATATATTGGTTTTTAAAATAATTGCCTACCGTTTTGGTAAAGAAATTAAATTAAACAGGGAGGTTGTGATAATCTCCATTATATGGAGGAGTTTTAAAATGAGTTATGCATATCGAGCCAAATACTATCCTTTAAACACAGCAACAGTTCCTAAAGTTTGTGGCTTTCCGTATACAACATAAATGGAGGTGTTAGTTTTCTGGTGAAAATTTACGAGTTAGTTGTCGGGGAGTTGTTATCGCCAAAATTCAGGACGTGCACATTGGTCGTCGTCTTCTTAAAATTATGCTGTCTCTTACACTCATATTTTTTCATTTGAAATAAACAGCATAGATAAAAGCTAGATTTTTGAGCCAACTTCATCGGGTATTATTTAATTGATTGGTTCTGTAATGGAATCTTGATTACGTCAATGACTCAGGGGTAGAATGTTTGCCAGCTACGCATACGCTTCGGATTACTATTACTATTCTGTCGACTCAACCAAATCTCACCTAACTGGCATTAGGTTTCTTGTATTAAAAACGACACCAACGCTATGGAGAACTTCAAAGCTTGGGGAGCTCAGACGGTGGGGGCGGGGGGAAACCTCGAACAAATGAATAATACAATGTGTAGTCATGAATAAGTATTTAACTAACTATTTATAAACCTTTTTAATGAATTAAGTTTTCTACATCCTCCTGGATTATTTGTATATTTTAGTTTTATGCATAGCGGTCAGTATTGCTTAGTAGGAAATTGAATAACTTTTTATTCAATACCTTAATAATACAATTTCAATTATATAATGAAACTTCTGTCTATGCTATTATTATTATTATCATCATCACCATCAGTTTGTCTGAACTCTCACTTCCGTTTTTGCAGATATATGCGCTCTAGTGTTTGTCAGCTAATTTGTATAGTTTTAAATATTTATAGAATTGTTACAATGTCGAATAAATCAAATGTGAATGTACAGCTAGCTATACATCGTTATCGATCTGTTTCATAGCTCACTAGGGTTTTAACATTACACATTAAAACTATCAATATAACATTTTTTGAACTTAGAATGACTTGTTTGACTGTATAAATTGTCTTTCTAGGTCGTATTTTTTGTGACGACTTGAGTTCCAGATTCCCTCGCACTTAAAATATAGTTGAGTATGTTCTTCTGATCAGACCTCTTTTATATGTTGGTGATCTATGGGGGGGGGGAATAAGTCCTGGGTTGCGCTAGGAGGATGATCCTGGTCAGTCACTTCTGAATTACTCTCCTGATCCTTTACCGTAAGTGGCATATGAGACCCATTCGTGGTAATATGGTTGTGGTTTCACTGGAATCCCCCAAGAAACAGTCAAAAATTTGAGTGGTAAATACACAGCTGATTAGTATTGTAATGAGACTGATTGTATTATACGAACAGTTGTGCAACTTGACTCATCATTAATGTGTGTGGCTAGGCCTCCAGTACTTGGAGGCACATTGTCTGCTGCAACGCTGATACAAACATCTTATGGAAGTGAACAGTTATTGGCTGGACAAGCAGTTTAGATTTCCTGTTACCTTCAAATGTATTTGCTAAAACACAAACTTGGGCACCAGGAGAAGCAAGGGCTGACAGGTGGTGGTTTTCTTCAAGGAGTCACTCCTCCCCGGAGCCTTTGACATGAAGTCTGATCCATTATCCAGTGGAGCAGCGCTAAGAGAGAGAGAGAGACTTCCGCATGGATTTCGGCGGTCAAAATAAGTGCATACTTCATTCGATTCGTTTTGATTCTGCAGCCCATAGGTTTAGAGTCAGAGTTTTCCAGCTCCTTTCCTGGGTAGACGTCTATGTTCACCAGTTCAGCTGTAAGTGCCGAACATTCCCATTGCTTACAGGACTTCATCATGAGCTGACATTGGTTAGAGAACCATTGGAAAACCAGCTGGAAGTACTGGACAGCTGTTTCGTCCTAGTACGCACCCACCTATTGCCCTTTCTCTTTTGTCAGGGACACCTGCGCTGTGACGTGAAGGTAGTGAATAGAACTTATTCGGCAGAGTCTATGAATGCGTGACCACATTGGAGGATTTTGAGCCGAAGACCAAAGCGGGTCGTTTTTTATAGGGGAAGGTTTTTTCTGTTTCTATTTGATGTGCTACCATATTTAACAATTCGGTGATGTTTTCTTTTATCCACCTCTATAGGCATACATATGTTCCTATACTGCCTAAATCGTTAATTGAATTTGTCAATGCACCAACTCCATTCCTTTATGGTATTCATTCATCCTATCAACATTTACTGCCTGATATGGTAAGTAATCATAGAGTATTTATAGTGTTACCTCTTTCATATGTCTCCTTTGCATATAATTTTGACAATGCACAAATTGAAGCTTAAACTGACTTTGAAGGCATGTTTTTTTCAAAGGTGTCGTTGTGTTATATGACTTTCTGTATAAGTTTTTGAATTAAAATGTCTACCTTACTGAGATTGCGCAGTTATTGTGTGTGAGTGTGTATCCACTTCCACGGTCTCCCCAGTAGATAAGGATTCTAACTGAAGTGACACTCGCTCACATACTACTGTTTTCGCAGAATTGAAAGTATTTATAACCAAGGGTTGCTTTTGGCCTTTAATAACCAAGCGACCAGCCAGTTCAGCATCTATCAATGTAACGTCTGAACCATTATCCAACAATGCATAAGTCTCTACTGAAGATTTCGGTCCTTTCATCTTAACTGGTAATACCCCTAAGAAAACTTGTGGGATGTCAAGGGGTCTAGAGATACTATTACAATTAACCGAACTCCCAGGTTCGTTCACTGTTCTCAGAAGTGGGTGCATATCCGTTAAACCACTACTTCTTTTGTTTGTCGCCTTACAATTCCACTTTGTATTCCCAATCTTTAAACAACTGAAACAGAGTCGCTTCTGCTTTGCCATTTTTAACCTTACTACGGGTGACATAGCGATAAAGCGATTACAATCACTCAATTGATGCATGTTATGGCAGAAAATACACTCATCCTTTCTCGTTGTGTCTTGAGACTTCACCACAAATGCCTTCCTTATATTCACTGGTTCCTTAGGTTCTAAATTAGAATGCAAAATGCTGGCGAATTTGCACATGTCCTGGTTGACACTGTCCTTCACCAGTCTAAGAATATCATCAAACCTTGGCTCGATACCCTCCTCCTCTATACGAGAGCTAATTTTTACTCATTTTCTTTGCAGCCGAGTAGGTAGGCGTCTTGCTATTACTTCTAGTATAAAACCCGAGTTGAGGTCACTCATGCAATTCATCGAAATCAAGGTATTCTTATAAGTCATAAGATTATCTAAAAACTCAGTAAGTGCCTTGGAGTCATCTTGAAGCTGACTGCCGTTACCATTGACAGCTTCGTATATGTTCCTTACAATAATAATAATAATAATAATAATAGTATATTCTCATTTTGTACATGAGAGACGCCAGTTTACAGGCATCATCAATATGATAAATTACATATACGATTAGCAATCATAATTAATAATAATGTTTTAATAAAGTACACATTTTTTCCTACTTGTGTAGGACACACCAAATATACAGGCATGGATAAGCATAAATTAAATTTCATAAATTCGGTTTATGGTTAAGTTACATGGTTGCTGGCGTTTTTGTTTTAATAATAATTATAATAATGTATATTCTCATATAAACATATAAATTTACATGAAAATGCATGCCATTTTTTTAGGTCTGTGGGAACAATATGATAACCAGTCATTCAATGGAGCACATCATGAAATATAGGAATATTGACTTCGCATTAACAAAAAAACCCAAGTAAGTTTCGGATGGATTAAAAATACTTGGGAAAAAATAAAGCTTGAAGTTATTCCACAATATAACAAGTCATTCAATGGAGCACATCATGAAATATAGGAATGTTGTCTTCGCATTAACAAAAAAACCCAAGTAAGTTTTGGATGGATTAAAAATACTTGGGAAAAAATAAAGCTTGAAGTAATTCCTCAATATAACCTGGGTGTGTACAAATCCGAATCTCATTTTTGATTTGATTTATATCCAAATTGGGTAATAAGGAAGCTATTTTTACAGATACGATCAGTTATGTTATAAGCTACAATCGTGAAGTTGTATTACAAATTGATACTTTTCCATTGGTATAAGAGTATATTCCACAAATGTAATCCAGGTTGCGTCGTGGAGAAAGTTAATTCGTTATTAACCAGGCAACTGAAAGATACGGGACCAATAATGTTTGCAGATCATTTGTCATTGTAAATGGTCAAATATCCACATTATTCATTCTCATTCAAAAAGTCAAATGGAAGCTGAAATGGTGAGAGAAAAAAGAAGACAAACAACAGCAACGCAAAAGAAAGCAACGGGAGTCCTTAAGGAGTGATTAATAAATATACACATATATATTCTCTTTAGTAACTGTGGTTATTTTGGTACACAAACTAACTAGTCCCGTTATGCTAACTTTTATATTATGTGTGAACTAATATTACTGTCCTGTGTAGAAATGTTAATCATCTAGTTCCAATAATATTAAAATTTATAATTGTAGTTTGCTGTAACTACACGTTTAAACAACTTAAAATATCTATGTAGGGTGAAAAAGAGGGTGTAAGAGTTAGACGTATAAGTGCATTGTCATCTTTGAGCAGTCTGGTGACTGAGGAGATGAACACTGGAAGTGTGTTTGCATCGCGCACATTAGCTGGTAGTCTATTCCAAATGACTGAAAACTTATTTAAGAAGAAGTTGTACCGCACGTAAGTCTGACAGTGCTCTATAGCAGCTAGGTTGTGATGATTTCTAAGATTGTAACTGACGACAGCGGTAGGTTTAGTTAATGGCTCGGAGGAATGCAAGAGAAGATTAGTTAGCTTATAGTAAAAGATTAGGTTTAGCTTAAGGCGTCTTTTCCAGAGGGGTTCTAATCTTAGTCTTACGCATCTCTCATGGTATTCCAGACTACTTTCTAAACCAAGAGTTCTTGAGGTAAACTGCCGTTGCACTCCCTCTAATTTAAGCTTGTCATTTTGTCTTAGTCCGCTAAGAATAAACGGGCAGTATTCTAAGATAGGTCGGACACATACTTTGTATAATAAAACCCTAGTTTCACAACAAAAGAAATTGCGTGTTATGCATCCTATCAGCCTACGCGTTTTACGTCTGGCATAATCAGTCTGTTCAGCGAACGTTAGGTTACTAGAGTATCTAATACCGAGATCTACGACTGAATTGAGCTTAGCTAGTTTTCGCCCATTTATTTCAAGGTTTAGATCAAGCTTACTGTTGCCGATACAAATCCAGCCGCATTTGTCAATGTTAAAATTTAGGCAGGATTCAGCACACCACGTTGCAAGGCTACTTAGTTCAAGATGTATTTTATCTACCATATCGCTTAATTCATGAGTGTAGCAGGAGTAGACGACTTTGAGGTCGTCAGCATATAGGAATGGTTTACCTGAGGTGAAGCACTTGCAAATGCTGTTAATGTAAACTGTGAATAAAAGTGGACCTAGGACACTACCTTGCACGACCCCACTTGAGATCTGCCTAGGATGAGACAATACAGATCCAACTTTGGTTATTTGTACCCTGTTGCTTAGAAATGATTTTAACCAGTTCAGTAATGGGTTGCGAATTCCACAAGAGTACAGCTTCTCAAAGAGAATACTGTGAGATACCATGTCAAATGCCCTAGATATATCGAAGTAGAGAACAACGACTAGCTTACGTGCTTCGCGACTACTAGTGATGCAGTTGAAAAAGTCGAAGTGGCAAGTAACGCAGGATCTATTTTTGAGAAATCCGTGTTGAGACCTTGTAACAAGATCTTCCCTAATTAGGTAGTCTGACAATTGATCCTTTACAACTTTCTCCATGATTCGTGAGATAACTGGGGTTATATTTATGGGTCTGTAATTGCGGACGTTTGCCCTATCACCAGATTTGTAATGTGGAATTATGAAGCTAGTTTTCCACTCACTAGGGTAAGTGCCAGTGTCCATAGATATTGAGAAGAATTTAAGAAGTAACAAGGGTATATCACACCCACTGTTTTTGAAAATTATCGAAGCGAGGCCATCCGGTCCCGTACTAGTGGAAGGTTTAAGGCTTTTAATTGCTTGTACTATTAACTGATTAGTGAACACAATGCTTTCAAGGGAAGAGATAGTAAGGGGAGCGGTTTCACCAGGCATATGTGTTTCTAAACTAAAGTTTGCAAACCAATCACTGAAAGTTCACAGATAGTGGCAGGTTCATTGTAGATTACTTTGTCGTGAAGTAAGTATGGGATTTCCCTCGCCGACTGCATTCGTTTTTTAAGAAGTGCCGTTAAGTTATAAACTTTGGAGGTACTTTCAAGTGCCGTTAACTCTTCGTCGAGGTCCTTTTGAGAGCGTAGGCGCTTGATAGATTCAAGAGACTCGTGGATTGAGAGCAATAGTGATATGTCCTTAGTGGAATAGTACTGTTTCTTCAGTTTCCTTAACTTATTACGGTGTGCCCTTGGAATATATTCAGTTCGGTGTCTACTTAATTTCACTATTTTCTTTGGAGCAACTGTATCTAGACAAAGGGTAACATTCCTGTAAAACAGGGTTACTAAGGCCTCCAGGGAGTCAGTGGTAAAATAGTCATCCCATTGACAGAGTCGAATAAGTTCTTGGACTAATCCCCAGTCTGTATATTTGTAACTACGACATATTGTGCTTCCTGAGTCTTGTTTGTTTCCTGTATTTAGTGGTGAGAAAGGCAGAGAGCAGAGTACCATTCTATGGTCACTACTGGAAAATCGATTACCAACATAAGTGGATACTGGGATTGTGTCATGACAAAAAACAAGGTCCAACATGTTGTCACCACGAGTAGGTGTCTGGACGTGTTGTTGCCATCCATAACAGTCTATAGTGGCAAGTAATTCGTCGAAGCGTTGGGGGCCGGAACTAGTTAGCCAATTGACTTCTGGAAGATTGAAGTCCCCTGCAATTATTTTGTAATTAGCACTAAACGAGGATGCGTGTGCAAACGATTTAGCTAATAACGCATCAGTTTCTTTTGTTGAGCTTGGTGCTCGATAAACACAGCCTATGAGAAGTTTGTACTTATCTCCATGTAAGACAACCCAGAGTGAGTCAGGTACATTATTCATTGTTTCATCTTCCACCTTACTGACTACAAATGAGCTATGTATATATATGAGACATCCTCCACCACGCTTGCAATCTCTGTTTGCACGGTGTACAGTGTAATCATCGATACCTATATGCACATCAAGTACAGAGGATGAGCACCATGACTCAGTAATCAGAGCTACAGTAGGCTTGGCGACTAATAATAATGTCCTTAGTTCAGATATCTTATTGATTAAGGAACGTGCATTAATTAGCAATATCGTGAATAAGTCACGGGATACTACAAACTGGCTTAAAATGTCACCATAACCTAAATCTATTTGTGCGTCAGCACCGCAAGAATTTATGAATGAAAAGGAGGTCGGACTGGGTGTCTGTACATCGGGGTTGGTGTGCAATGAGGTGGTCCTAGGTGCCATGGGTCGTACCAGTGATTCGGGACACCTGGAAAATTTACCATGTGTTCCTGGATATAAGGGTAGTACAGGTTGGGCCTAGGTTGACGGTTAAAAGGCATAGCATCAGAAGGTCTACCCATCCAACTGCTATTCGTCATACCGGTATACACCTTCGGGTTGTTTTTATAACTTAAAGGGAATTGTGAAGGAAGGTGCTTTGGCTGCAAGACTTTAGGAGTCTTGGAGCCTGACTTTCTATAAGGTGGAGCATGCGGAACACCTCCAAACATGCTTATGTTTCGAGAGGAGTTTTTCGTAACAAGTGATGGTTTGTTGGCATTCTTACTCTCAGCAGGCTTATTGAATACAAAGTATTCTTCCCCATCATTAGTCTCAACCCTGCGAAATTTGTTCATCGTGGTGAGGTTACTACGTTTGGGGGGAAATTTCTTAGAACAACTTGCAGAAGTTCTAGCTATTTTAACATCTTTCGATGAGGCTTTATTTACAGGGGTAAAGTGAATATTCGTGATAATGATCATGATACTTCACATTTGTCTTCGGTTGATCATGGTGAGATGAGGGATATGCCTACTACTGCTAAGTTGAACGTAGGTTCTGTACAACTTGAACGCGAAGTAGAAATAAATGCAGATTCAGTTGCAGAAGGCACGCATACTTGTGAGACCGTCAGTGTGATTGATCAGCATGTAGCCCACCTATCATCAGATGATAGTGCTAAGCCAGAGCTGACATTAAAAGACAGCAGTGGTGGTGGTCTTGCAGGTAGACAACTTTCTGAAAGTCAAGCAACAACAGCTTTTGATCCACCGCTAACTTCATCAACTGATATCAATCAGTCGTCGTTGGTGCTGTCATCCACAATGAAACAGATGCCCATCAACTCAAGTATCTTGTGCAATGACTATGATAGTATTGGTGCATTTGGAAGGACGAAAGATATTGGTCAGTTTAGTGAGGATAAGCCAGGTGAAAACGAGAGAGTAATTGTTAAATTGACTTGCATGAATAAAGGCACTTCTAGTTTCAAGTTACCTTCTGAATGCTATTATCTTTGGTGTAAATTACTCTGTTTCTACACTTGGTTGATCAGATATGTCGTGTGTTTGTTCGTCATCTATATTCTACGATACAATGACATGGGCGTGTTGCCGTTCAGATTTGAGGATATAGCTCATAGAAGGAAGTCAGCAAATGAACTCTGCAACGATTTTCCAACCTAGAGCGTCAACCTGAGAAGGGTTGTAGGCGTACTGCTGTAAGTCCTGCAATTCTTCAAAGGAATTCCACCAAGACATGATCGGCGAGGTTGTGTGTACTGTTTGTATATACGTGTGGTGTGTCATAGCAATTGGTGTTTTTCGGATTCATTGTGTTTACTCGTTGTTTTCGTACCTTGTTGTTATTATATAATTTTGTTAAAATTTTCGTCGTGATTACTTCTGAAGTTGTGTGCACTCTTCTACATCCATGAATGAATTGATTGATGTTAAGGACAGCAGATGGGGCGTATACGCCGGGGAGGCTAGGCTATTGCTGAGAATGAAATGTACACGGAGATAATTGTTAGCTGCGGTCCGACACGCCGGGGAGAAAGAGTGTAAACGACTGAGGCTCACATGCGTCACCGCTACTAGAACTGAGGCAGAATGAGTGACAAGCGATTTCAGTGGTAATTGGTAGTGAGTAGATAAGAGGATGTGCGCAGAGTATCATGAGTTGGTGCTATGGTCACGTTGCATTCTGCATGTGTGACTTATTCCGTGTGTCTATTAGTTGCTTGCTTACAGTCTGGTTGCTTTGATTAGAAACACAACAACACCAACGTTTGAACAAAGCTGTATTTTCATCGAAAACGTCATAGTTTCTACGCTTACATCGATATGGTTGGCATTAAACATTGCAAATGTATGCTAACATTCCAACGACATAGCGCTCAGCCAAATATACAGTGTTCATTGTGAAGGGTTTAAAATGTAACACTTATCATGACCTATTCTAATTACTCGTACAATAGTTGAACGACTTAAACTTTTGAAAAAGTACCAATTTATGATACTTCGCGATTGCAGTTTATAACGTAACTTATTGGGCATGTAGAAATGACATGCATTCTTTGTAAACATTCGTTTATACAACATGAAATTATTACTATTTGCTTGCTACTAACCTTTATAAGATGAGAAATATGTGTGACAGTGAAAACCACAGAAGAATGCTGTCATGAACGAAGAATGAGAAAGGAGAATGAACCATTTTCAGCAAGGGTAGGCAAATATAAAACGTTTAACTTTGATATTACTCCTATTGTCAATGGAGTTGAAGTTTGGACGATCAATTCTTGGTTGTTTGCTCAAAATCAACTTCCCCAATTTTCGCGGAAGCATCAATACGACAGTCATCGTCTCATCGGTCGCTGTTCAGAAAGAAGACTGAAACATCGTCAGAAACCTTAGTTTGCTTAGTTCGCTTATTCCTTTTATATGTTGGTGTAACAATAAACAAATATCAAACGGCAGATCGGTGTTTTGGTTTTTGCGTCCGTTATAACTAAGCGTTTCCGAGAAATCTTCTAAGAACAGCGTGGGCCCGAGCGTAGCGAGAGCTGGGCATTAACGGTTTATGAGACTTTGCTGACAGTTTCTGACGATAGAAACAGATCTGGCGGATTGAAACAGTTGGTGAAAGTTTGGATAGTCGCCGTTCATTTTTCCTGGTGCCGGTCAAGTCCTCTTTGAACAAGCAATATCTGGAACTGTTTTGGAATTGGGTCAAGTTCAACAATGCCTGGGTCAAAGAAGGGACAGAGTGTCTTGGATACAAACAGGAAAGTAAGTCATTGTGACTTGTCTGTTACTTGTAACGATGTGTCTGATGTTAAGCATGACATGGTTGATGTTACTGTTTCGCCGTTCAGGGATAATAGGAACATCAAACTCCCTAAGTTTGAACCACGGTGTTTTGATGGAAACCCGGCCGATTATTTACAGTTTGTTAAGGAGTTTGAGATCATGCTGAGTAATTTTTCATTAAGTGATGAATTGAAATTGATGTATTTGATGAGATATTGCACTGGAGATGCTTCAAGAGCTATACAGTGCTGTAAGCTCATGCCCCCTAATGAGGGATACGCTGAGGCTATGAGCATATTACGTCAAAGGTTTGGAAGGCCTTCGATGATTGTAAGGAACGTATACGAAGCTGTCAAGGGTAATGGCAGTCAACTTCAAGATGACTCCAAGGCACTCACTGAGTTTTTAGACAATCTTATGACTTACAAGAATACCTTGATTTCTATGAATTTCATGAGTGACCTCAACTCCAGCTCAGTCCTAGAGGTAATTGCAAGACGCCTACCTACGCGGCTGCAAAGGAAATGGGTAAAAATAAGCTCTCGTATAGAGGAGGAGGGTATCGAGCCAAGGTTCGATGATATTCTTAGACTGGTGAAGGACAGTGTCAACCAGGCGATGGGCAAATTCGCCAGCATTTTGCATTCTAAGGTAGAACCTAAGGAACCAGTGAATATAAGGAAGGCATTTGTGGTGAAGTCTCAAGACACAACGAGAAAGGATGAGTGTATTGTCTGCCATAACATGCATCAATTGAGTGATTGTAATCGCTTTATCGCTATGTCACCCGTAGAAAGGTTAAAAATGGCAAAGCAGAAGCGGCTGTGTTTCAGTTGTTTAAAGATTGGGCATACAAAGTGGAATTGTAAGGCGACAAATAAAGGAAGTAGTGGTTTAACGGATATGCACCCACTTCTGAGAACAGTGAACGAACCTGGGAATTCGGTTAATTGTAATAGTATCTCTAGACCCCTTGACATCCCACAAGTTTTCTTAGGGGTATTACCAGTTAAGGTGAAAGGACCGAAATCTTCAGTAGAGACTTATGCATTGTTGGATAATGGTTCAGACGTTACATTGATAGATGCTGAACTGGCTGGTTGCTTGGGTATTAAAGGCCCAAAGCAACCCTTGGTTGTAAATACTTTCAATTCTGCGAAAACAGTAGTATGTGAGCGAGTGTCATTTCAGTTAGAATCCTTGGCTACTGGGGAGACCGTGGAAGTGGATACTGCTTACACTACCTCCAGTATGAAACTTGGCGAAGCTATAGTACCTAGTCGTGAAACGGTTGTCGGTAAGCCGTACCTGTGTGACATACCTCTTCCAACATTGCAAGATGGAAGAGTGAGAGTACTCATTGGATGTAGTGTGCCAGAAGCTCACAAGGTATTAGAAGAGAGATTTGGAGGTAGAGATGATCTGTTTGCGACGAAAACACCACTGGGATGGACAGTGAGAGGACCTATACCCATAGTCCACATATCATCATTAGTTACAAACGATGGGGACAAACTAGAAACTATGATTAAAAATATGTATGACAAGGAGTTTTGTGACTGCGGTGTCCCAGGGAAGGGTCGTTCTGTAGAAGACTTAAAAGCAGTTAAAATAGCCGAGGACTCTTGTAAATACGAAAACGGGCGTTTCAGCGTTGGCCTACCATGGAGATTCAAAGATAGACAGTTGGTTTGTAATAGGAAAGTTGCTCTTAAGAGACTAATGGGTTTACAGAAGAAATTTCTGTCAGATGCAGAACTCTGGTCCAAATATAAGGAAGTCGTCGATAAACATATAATGAAGGGTTACGTTGAAAGACTAGTTGATCAAGTGAGCCAGGGAAGTGGTATTTGCCCCATCATCCCGTCTTTAACCCGAGGAAGCCAGGTAAACTCCGTGTGGTGTTTGATTGTTCTGCGAAACACGAAGGAGTCTCTTTAAATGATAATCTGTATAGTGGCCCAGATTGCGTGAGCTCATTAGTGGGACTGCTATTGAGATTCAGAAAGTTTACAGTTGCTGTCGCGGCGGATATTGAGGAAATGTTCCTACAGGTGAAGGTGCCAGAGAGTGACAGAGATCACTTGAGGTTTTTGTGGTTTGATGACGGTCCTTGTGGTAAGGTGTCAGAATATAGGATGACAGTGC